CTAGGGTTCAGGTGCGAGCCACCGCGCCCGGCTGGAAAGTGTGTCTTGAAGAGAGGAGTGGCGAACCATGCCTTAGTCCCTGCTTTGCTGAAAAGGGTCCCCGAGCACCTGGAGGAGAGAATGACGAGCTTCAGGACCCGGCGTGGGTTCAGGAGGAAAGTGCAAGGGTCAACTAAGTGCCCAGGCTGGAGGATCAGAGAATCGTGAGGACACAGTGTGTCCACAGAGACATGAGGCAGAAAAACGGCCGGATGCAACGACAGGGAGATGGATCAGAAGCTGCCTGACCGGTGACATGCAAGGGCACGCGTGAGTGAGTGTCAGCCCCGGAGGACATTCCAAGTGCCGTGTCACTGCGCTCTGCCCTTGGCCTGTCCAACGCATCAGCAGCTGTTATCAGAGGTAACGACACTTGACCGTGGTCAGAACAATCCAGGCGGCCTGTTAAACTAGAGCATCCCGGCGCCCACCCAGACCTATCCAGTCACCACTCCCCAGGGTGGCACGGGGCCCAGAGGACAGCCTGACTTAGAGGAAGGGAGAATCGAGGGAGGAGCTGATCAGAACGTGCAGCGGAACGGGGAACACGCTGGACGACAGGTTCAGGCCGCGGGCTGTCCCAGCAGCGGAGAGGTGGGCTCAAGCACGGCCGTGGAAACTCGGAACCCTGCATTCCGCAGTGGAAACGGCACGTGGATGGGGTGAGCCAGCCGGGCCTGCGGCCAGCTTGGGACGCTTGGCGACCGGCAGAGGGTCTGGGCTATGCGGACGCCGGGGGAGGGAGCAGTGCTCTCTGCCGCCCCACGCTCCCTCTCCACGGGCAGAGGACACGCGAGGGGCGGCGGTGCTCATGTGAGGGCCACGCAGAGAGGCGGCGTGTCTGCAGACTCGGAGGAGCCAGGCCCCCGCCTGAGACTCGGACAGGCCTGGCGCGTGCACGGACGTGTTCAGTGGGGTCCAACGGGGCAGATCTAGAATCGATGAGCAAAAACTAGTGGGGCACGATCAGACTTTGGCAGAAGGAAGGTCTCGCCAACAGTGAGGGCTGCCCAGAGGGACGGAAATGGTGAGCACTTTGCCACGGGAACTGTTATAAACTCACACACGCTGAGCATTTACTGCCATGTACGGCGTATATGCATGCATGTATCCTATGTGTACACGTGTGTTCTTCCTGCAACTCGGTAAATTCCACAAGCACTAAACTAGGTCCCTTCATCTTCATATCCCTGGAGTCCTGAACAAGCCTGCCCCATGCTATGTGCTCAATAAACGTTATTTGAACGAATGGGCCGTGGCCGGACGTTGCGAGGGTGCTGCGGAGGAGAGTCGTGCTGCCTAACGGTTCACGTTCCTTCCAGACAGCAGGTCCCGGGGGCTCGGAACCTGCACACGACCGGCTTCCCCTGCAGACAGTCACCCTTTGCATCTTTACAGTGGATTTGGAACACAGATAAAATGAATTATTTAAATTACCATGTCTAATGTTCAACTGCGACATCAGCTCTAGGTCTAAGACTCAGATAGGCATTAAGCGAGCGTGAGGGCAATCATTTTTGCCTGCAATGCTTCTGCACTGCACAGGAACACGCCGAAAGCCGCATCTATTAAGAAAATCTGATTCTTCCAGTGGAAATCTGATCCTTCCAGCTGTGAACCAGTTCGGGGAGTTATCGTCCAGGTCTCTTTTAAAGTAATCGTGGCCGCCTCTGGGTCTGGGGGACTTCCTGACGCACGGGCTGGTGCCCACTGCCCGGCACCCTCCGCCCAGCTGGGGTTCCCGTCGGAAAGGCAGTCGCCCGTCGGAGGCCTGGCCCAGCTCCAAATCACCCCAGTGGCCTTCGCCAGAGCAGCCTCGGCCGTTACCACGGAGATCAACGCACAACGTCACATCGTCCCTGAGAGACCCAAACCAAAACTAACTCCCTGGTCCATGGACTGAAGCGGAAACTCCCCTAACATTTGAGGGTTTGCTCTTGCCCCCAGGCAGGAGCGGACAGGAGACCGTCGTGGGTGGGGTGGGGAGCCACGTCTGCAGGGAGCACCTGCCTTACAGCAGGAGTGGACAGGAGACCGTCGTGGGTGGGGTGGGGAGCCACTCTGCAGGGAGCACCTGCCTTACAGCAGGCTCAGGCCGAAGACCGTTGCATTTGATCCCACGACATCCTGGGAGGTGACGTCAGTGTCCCCGCTGCACGCACGAGCAGGGGCGTCTCAGAGAAGCCGGCGCGGCTGCCCAGCGCCCCACAAGGGCGCATTTCGGTGCGGGTCTCCTCAGCCCGTAGCCGGCCCGGCGCCCGTAACCAACACCGCGGGCTGGGGGGCTTGGACGGGAACGTTTCCTTCTCTCGGTTCTGCACGCTGGAAGCCCGAGACCAAGGCGCCTGCAGGTCCAGCGCCCGGGGCGGGCGTCCTGCTGACACGGCCTTCCCTGCAGGGCGAGAGACATCATCTCTCTCCTGTCTCTTCCGACGCGGCTCCATCCTTGTGGCCTCATTGCCCCCAGAAAGCTTCACCTCCAAGCATCACTACCCTGGGGATGAGGGCCCCAACATGCGAATTTGGGGGGACACAAACACTCAGTCCAGAGCAGGCCCCGAAGCTGGGCTCTTGTCCCTCGCAGCCCCCCCACAACCTTATCACGGAGGTCAGACTGCGGCCCTCCCTCATCACAACAGCCCAGGGGCTTCCTCGCAGACTCCAATGGGACCCGACGCCTTCCGGTGGCCTCTGCCTTCCTCCCTTGCCACGCACCCTACCTCTTCTCATACTCGTCCTCTCCCTGCCCGTCCTGCTGCGCTCCCTGCTGTTCCCTGGAATCACCGAGACCCTGCTCCAGGGCCCCCACACTTGCCATTCCCTCTTCTAGAACGTTCTTCCCCCAGCACTCCGCAGGCCCCTCTTACCTCCGCCAGGTCTCCCCCCCACGCCACCTGGTCAGGGAGGCTGTTCCCAACACTCCATCGGAAAGAGTCGCCTCTTCCCAGCACTCCCTACCTAGCCTTGCCCTGTGCCTGATGTCCCTGCCAGCGTTCACGCACCTGCACGCACACGCCTGGCCACCCAGCTCTTCTCCCAGTGACCCCTGGAGCGCCAGCCCCGCGCGGCAGGGCTCTGCGTCACTCACTGCCGCGTGCCCCACGCCCGGGCCCAGACACGTCACCTTTACCCGCTGCTGCCTCCTCTCCCAGTCCCTGCTCTCGGGGTCCTGCCACGCAGCAGCCAGCCACCTGGGCCAGGTAACTTTCCTGACGGTGGCCCCGACAGAGAAGGGACTGCCCTTTCATCCACGCTCTCTCTGTGCCGATATTGGATGGCGCTGTCGGTCTTAGGAGTGTGTGATTTTACCAGAGAAGAGACATGAGGGATGACTGATGAAACAATAAGATAACTGTATCTCATAAAGAGAAAACAAAGGAAACTTCAAAATGACCAACTGCTGTTTACTGCTGGAACACACAATTAGCTCATTGAAGGCCTTTCAGCGTTTTTTCAAAGCGGACAGGAATGGACTCTTATTAAAGGAGTTATAAAAAGCTGTGTTATCTGGCATTTAACCAACCGCAGGGCTTCTAAAAGGGGACTCTCTGAGTCCCACAAATCTCCACGCTCACCACGGGACTGAGCAGAAGCCGATCGTAATCCGAGAGGAGACCAGCATTTAGAGCATCGAAGTTTCTGGAGATCGAGCTATCTCTGCCGTGGGAACTTCCTGCGGGTCACTGCCTCGGAACCCCAGTTTGCTTCGGTGACTTCAGGTCACTGAGAGGTGCTTTATTTCCCACAAAAAAAAAAATTTTACGTTCTGTAGAAGCATTTTGTAAATAAACAGAGGACGGTTTGGTTTCGAAACTCGGGATTTGCTTTGAGCTTTGTTTTACACAGCCTGTCTGCACATTGTTCTAGAATGTGGAAATCCCTCCTGACATCTGAAGGGCTTTTGTGTCCTGAACGGTCTCAAGTATTTCTCTCCTTTCTCGACACCCCGACCACTTCAAAGCCCCCCAACCCCCAACCCCGACTCTAGGCCAGGTTTGGGCTCAGAGGGTGGAATACCTGAGAGGTTCAAGAATGATCTTCTGGGAAAATTTAAGCTAATCCCCCAGTATGGCAACTTTTAACCAATCAATACACCCCTCGCTCTTAGAAGGTGAAAGATACAGCCAGGCACTGGGACGGAGAAAATGCTGCAGGTGATTTCACTTCCAAAGAAGGAAGAAAAAAGGGATTTCAGTTCTTTTGTGCACTCTAGGGGTAGCCTGGGAAGGGAAGCTGGAGAGAACAAGTTCAAAGAGCCACGGGAAGCCCGGCAGAGGCGTGGCACAGGGGACCGTTCTCATGCGAGTGCTGCTCAGAGCGGAACTATCCAGAACAGCATCCTCACTGTCTCGAAGAACACACCACCCCACATTTCCAGACTTTTCTTTTTATCATACTGTACTGGATCATAAACTGAATATAAGACATACAAACCAGCAGCCCAAATCCCCATTCTTTAGCATGAATGATGAGTTTACTTGATGTTCAAACACGAATTTACATCCCACTTCCTTCAAACCACACGCTGACAGTTTATTATATGATACTCACACTAAAAAATCATCTGTTATGGCTTGAGTCATCCTCCAAAGGGTTTAAGAAAAAAGAAAGCGAAAGAGAAAAAAAGACTATACATAATTTAGTATATTTACAATTATTCTTGTGCCCAAGTGAGGGAAGAGCCCAGGGAAACATGGGTCTCTGGCTGCCTGGTCAAATCCCAAGGCACACTCCCTGCTCTGCCCTTGTACTTGTGTAGTTATCTGGACGCGGGCATCGACTCAGGCACGATTCCTACAGAGTCTTTGAGAATATGACCATTTATCCTCCACGAACACTTTTTCTTGTTAAAGAACCATGACTCTCTGTACTCTGCAGTTGCCAAAGAGCAAAAGGAGATAACATATAACGTGCAGCCTCCACCAACCCACATGTGTGCATTTTCGTGACATTCAACTTACTTTTTCGTTCCACGCCCACAGTCCAATTCCAAGAAATGTTATTCCCAAAAACTGCAACAAGAAAGACAGAGAGCAGTGTAAGTACACAGGTAAATGCCACATGTTTACTCATGTAAATAAGAAAGTTCTCGATCCATTCCCTTGTCCCTGTACCTGGCTGGGAAATAACTGTCTCTAAAATCTGAATGTCCATCTTTACCGGGAAAATAAACACCATAATCCCCTTAATTTTTTTTTCATGGTGGGAGTATTTATACCCTTGCTTAAAATTATTATGACATTAAGAAGAGTTGGAGTCACACAGGTGCTTAAAAGTCATCCATATTATGAAGAATAATAATTAGGGAGGATCCTGACAAAACGAAGGTTTCCAGTAACGCCGAGCGCTGCCTTTCAGGGCAGGAGAGGAAACGGGGCCCCGACAGGGCGAGGCTGGCGTGCGTCAGGGACTATTGCAGAAGCAGAGGCCGGGGTCTGGAAGAGCTGGTGACACTCTCTTTTTTTTTCTGAGACAGAATCTCACTCTGTTGCCCGGGCTAGAGTGCCGTGGCGTCAGCCTAGCTCACAGCAACCTCAAACTCCTGGGCTCAAGCGATCCTCCTGCCTCAGTCTCCCGAGTAGCTGGGACTACAGGCATGCGCCACCATGCCCGGCTAATTTTTTCTACATATATTTAGTTGGCCAATTAATTTCTATTTTTAGTAGAGAGAGGGTCTCGTTCTTGCTCAGGCTGGTTTTGAACTCCTGACCTCGAGAGCGATCCTCCTGCCCCGGCCTCCCAGAGTGCTGGGATGACAGGCGTGAGCCACCGCGCCCCGCCCGGTGACCCTCTCTTTACCATGGAGCCACTGTCAACCGCTCGGGTCAGAGAGGGCACACCGAGCCCAATGTCCCTCAACAAGCTCTTTATCACGCCTCCAAAAGATAACAGGAATCTCATCAAGCCCAACAAAACCCAGAGAAAATTCCTAGATTGTTCTGTTTTTCAGAGACATCAGTTGCTTAACATGCAGTTCAGGGCTTCCACCACGCCTGCTGGTCTCAGCTCAGTTCCCGGCTTTATGTACAACATGGAACACACGCGTAACACACGTGACCGCGGTGAGCACCCAGCGCCCACACGGGTGCACCGCACACGCACCCCACAGCTCCGCTGAGGAGCCGCGGTGGGGGGGGTGTCTGGGAGGGGAGCAGCTGCTGACCAGGGAAGACCTTCCGTCCTCATTAGTTCTGACCTGTTCCATCCGCTCTCAGACATGCATTCCCCACATTTTAACACCTCTGAAATCGGGACGCTCTAAAAATCGATGGTATCTCATAGTTTCGTTTCTTTCCCCCCTCGATGACACTTAAAATAACGGTGAGCTTCGTAATTAGGGTGCGGCAGACTTGAGGACACGCTGCGAGGGGCTGTCCGCCACTGCGAGCTCAGCCTTCAGGCCTGCGCGGAACTGGCCGCGCGGAGCGGGACATCTCATCCCTCGCCTCTGCCATCGACAGCAACTCTGAATCTCCTCTCCAAACCCTGAGGAGAAAAGCCAGCCGGCAGGTGACAAGCAGCTCCGGTCGGGCGGCAGCTTATGTCACTAACATCTCGAGTAAGTTAAACGCCAGGAAAGGTGTCTGCCGGGAGGAGCGCGCAGAGGAAAAGCAAGGGTGGTTATTTATTTATTTTTTTTGCAGTTTCAAGGAAATCTGAGAACTGTCCACCTGGCCAGTCCCAGCAGGGAGTTACTGACGCTTTGCGGGCAACAAATCCAAATGTGACGGAGACGACAGCAAGAGCAGAGGGAAAAGAGCAGACCGGAAACAAAGAATTAGCTGCTCTGAAACACGGGTTGTTTTTAAAAGAACTTCCCGAAGCTTCCACCAGGGCAAGAGAGTACTCGACTCGTTCTGGGCTCTACACAGAAAAGCCCGCCCTTGGTTTGGCCAAAACTGGACACATTGCTCCCCTCCTCCCCCTCCTACAGGGGGGCTGCTTGAGAAGTATCTGGAAAGACTTCTTGTTTCCACATCCCAACAGACAAAGTGTGCTCAGCCCCTCTGCAGCCCTTATCAGAGCGCTATTTCAGATCTGAAACAACAGGCGATTCCCCCCGTGGCTCAAAAGGTACTTGGGACTCTGAGGCACAAAGATAAAACAATTCAGCATGCTACTCTCGCACGGGCAGAACAGGACACAGCTGGCGAGCAGATACACAGGCTCCGTCCGGTCTGCTCTAGAAAGCGCAGCGTCAGGTCTGACTTCACGCCCTGGCATCGAACTCAGCCCAGCGAGGTGGCCGAGCCTCCAGGGCCGGAGCTTTCCCTGGACACGTGCTGGGCTGGTCATTCCCCGGATGCAGCATCCAGTGGCAGTGCCACCGCAGGCAGTGGGTGGGATGCGCCGCTGCGGAGGGCGCTTGCCCGGTCGCTGCCATCCACTGCGTTGTCGCCCGCCGGGCGTGGTGGAGCTTGGTGCTCCGTATGCAACGTCTCTTAAGTCTCCCAACAACTCTGCTCTGAAACAGGCACCATTATCACTCCCTCTTTAGGAAAGAGGGACATGGGGCCCAGAGAGTTTAACTAGCTGGTTCAGAGGCGCACAGCCCCTAAGTCGGGGAGCGGACACCCAAGCAACAGGAGTTCGAGTCCCACCAGTGCTCGCAAGTTCCCGCTTCTCCGGGACGCAGGCAGCGGGGACATCCGGGCCAGAACTGCGAGGCACACGAGGGGGACGTCATACGCTCCTCTCCCAGCAAGCAAAGGGGGTGTGACGGGGTAAAAAGGGACAGCGACCTGGTCTCCACGTGAAACCTGGCTGCAGAACACAAGTTCCCCGCGCTGGGTCCGCCACGGCGCGACGCGGAAGAACCCAGGAATGCGACGGCATGGCGGGTCCACGTCCTCCTCTCTACATGAAGTTCTCCCCTCTCCTCTTGGCACTTTGAAAACTTCGTTGCTTCCATGAACCACACGAATAGCTTGGGAACCGGCGGCTTCCATAAAGACGAGAGAGAAAGACTCACGGACGATCTGCTTTGCCATCTTGCTCCCGTATTTCCTGCTTTGGCTGTGAGTTTCCAAACAAGGGTTTAAGCGCATAGAAGAAAAACGCGGTTGGAAGTGGAGGCAAACACTCGGTGCCTGGGCGAGCCGCGGTGCCACCAGAGCCCGGCCCCAGCGCGACACATACCTTCAGCGCTGCGTCACGGCAACGGCCTCCCGGCTCCTCTCCGGCCATATGTTTTGTTTTAAAATCAAGTTGTTCCAGCTCCAAATAATTAAACGGAGAAGAGCCAAAAACAGACAGGCACGCAGCGCCCGGCACATTCGGTCCCCGCCCCAGAGAAAAGACGACCATAAACCACCCGGCTGCCCTCACGCTGGAACCCAGAGAGGCCCACGCACGGGGGATAGCTGAGGGCTCTTACGGTCACCCGCCATTCTTCTGAAGCAGAAGCAGAAACACATCTGAGGCATCTTTCCATGTGGCAATATGTGCAGATGTGCAGCGCAAATGTCTGTCAGCCCGAGTTTTGATGATTTAAAACAAATACTAATTTTGCCAACATTTGCTGAATGCTGAGTAGGGCTAAAGAGTTGTCATGTGTCACTTACCGACGGGGGTGTGGTCTGAGACATGCGTCATTAGAGGGTTTTGTTGTTGTGTGAACACTGTAGACGGGCGGTGTGGCCCATTGTTCCCAGACTACAAACCACACTGCACTCGACACTGTAGGCAGCCGCAACACGACAGCAAGTGTCTGTGTATCTACACACATCCAAATATAGAACAGGTGCAGTAAAAACAGGGTATTATAATCTTATGGGACTACCACTGTCTACACAGTCCACCCTCAACTGAAACGCTAGGCAGTGCACGACTGCCCTGTGTGTGATGTGAATTAGCTAAAACCGCACAGCCCGATATGGCAGCCCAGCTACTGTGCATTTGAAACGTGGCAAGTTCAAAATGAGGTGTGCCTGTAAGTGTAACGTATACACTGGACTTTGAAGACTTAATGTTAATAAAAAAGAACATAAAATATCTCATTAATATTTGCTTTATTATTGATTGCATGTTGAAATAACATTTTGGATACACTAGATTAAACAAAATATATTAAAATTAATTCCACTTCTTTCATTTTACCTTTTAAATGTATAGCTACTGGAAAATGTAAATTCCATATGTGGTTTGCATTGTATTTCTAGGGAATAATGCTGGTCTAAAGTATCCCACAACAAACCTATGCACTAGGTGTTGTTATGACCCCCATTTCATGGTAAGTCTTAGAAATTTTAACTGTTTCTCCCAACATCATATAGGAGCCTGAGCTGGGCTGCTTAGGAAACCTGAGTCCTCAGCCCAAGTTCAAAATTATTATGGTACCTTCCTAATATGCACAAAATGTTTGTCCACAGAGCCGGCCAGGGATGGGGAAGTGCAATGCTCTTTAATATCTAGAAATGAGAGGTATGTTTTCCTGCCTGGGGGTCAGCCCGGCTCTCATGGAACCACGGGGGTGGGGGGCCAGTCAATGGAAGCCTGCCAGGCTCGGAAGAGCTGACCCTTGGGAACAGCTGGCGGGGACGATGGCCCCAGGACGTGATGAAGGTGACTGGTCTGCCCCCCTCTTCTCTGAGGCCTACAAGAAGATCTCTTCCTCCGCATCTGGTTGTTTTCGTCCTTGCTGAACTTCCAACATCTTGGAATGGACCACAGCCCCACTCTAACTGGTACAAAAATGGATAGAAGCCACTCACCCATCCATCCACCCACCCACCCATCCACCCACCCACCCACCCATCCAACCATCCAGTCTTCAACAGATCTTGAGTTCCTACTTTGAGCTAGATACTGCTTTTCTCTTGGGATAAATGGCGATAGAAGAGAACCAGCTCCTGCCCCCAGTGAGCACACGGTTCAGTGAGAGAGAGAAAATAACCACGTAATCAGAGAGCGAGAGGTGAAGTCGCCCCATTGATGCTACAGAGGAGACGCAAAGAAGGTCCAGGAAGGCGGCACCAAGAGGGGCTCTGAGCCTGAGCGCCAGAAAGGCTTC